ATATAAATATATATATACGTACTAGAAACGGAACCTACCTTACTTGAACAATGTGAACATGTAATATATAATATAAACGGACCAGAAACTGAGCCTACCTGAGTTGACCAGATGTGAACACACTTATCAAACGATCCACTAGCCAGGTATTTCCCATCAGGACTAAATGCTACACTGTAAACTGGCTCTGTATGTTTAGTTAAAGTAAAAAGACAGACTCCTCTTTCTACCTCCCAGAGCCTCACTGTAGAATCAAATGAAGCACTGCAAGAAGAAAATTCAACATTACTTTTTTAAAGCAGCCTATGAACTTACAGATTTTGTTTATACTGTTATTCACAAATACATTTACACTATGCCAGTCTTTAAAATAGTTTGTTTGCTGTAACCCTAAAAAGATTTAAAATGTCGGTAGGTAAATATTTTGTTGTTTTTTTAATTGCTTCACAACATAAATTTTGGAGATAACACAAGTTCTGTGATCACCTAAAACATAATGCATTAAACCATGAATATAATTACTATAAACATTTATTCTATGAAGAGAATTACAGAAATTTCAAAATCTTTCGCATGGTCGATATAGACTTGCTGGTCGATATAGACCTCGAACAACGAGGTTGAATTGATTGTTGCCGACAATTTTATAGTTTGTTTCATCTCATTTGCCAAGTAAATCTACGAGTACTTCCATTCACTGGATAAGTTTGCAATCAGAATTAAATTTATTTTTGATCCTAATCCTCAATCCATGAGAACAGTTTTAGGATACAGATACACTGAACAGACTTATGTTTGTCATGTCGTTGTTGTATGCTCATTAATAGTAAATTCACTCCTGCTAGGTCATGTATTTATTAGTTTAGCATGAAGGGTCCTGGTGATGAGACAAGCCATGTTGTCAAACTTCAATGCACTGAAATTAAAGAATAGGTTGAACAATCGCCAATTCTTTGTTATATTTTTATTTAAAGAATGATAATGTTTCGAGCTAGCACTCTTCGTCAGATCGTACAGCTTACAACAGCTTCTATATGCTCTTCACAGATAAACTTATAAACACACAATCTAGATCTATTTCACTATATCTCTCACTAACTTTGTCTTACTTGAACTACATTTTGGACATGTATTTATACATAGCAACTGAGGCCCAGAACTTTCTACACACTACGAGATATGATGATGTATTAATATTCAAGAAAAACTTAGATGGTTCTAAAACATAATGCAATAATATGACAATTGAACTAAACAAAGTATGATCTGCACAGTTATGTAAACAGGATAAAATATCACTTCTAAAAATAACTAAATTTAACACTGGTGCAATACTTAAATTAAAACAGTCATGTATAACTAACAATATTCTAACCAAAATACAGCGATAGAAATTTTAAAGTCGGCAAATTTTGTTTGATGGGTCAGTAGATCGGCAGGAATTGGTAAAAATAAAAATTTACAAGGTCATAATGTAATAAAAATGTCTCAGTCTGCCCCAATTTCAGGTCAGTCAGGTTACAGCAAACTGAAATATTTTTAAGCCTAGCCCTAGGTATACATACAATTATAAAAGAATTAACTGCTTACCTTCAATCAGGATTAAAATAATTAAAACCTTAAACATCTCTGGAAGAAAAACCTTTGTTAACAAGATTGGGTATAAAAACAATCAAAACTACACACATTTAAATATACTGTAATTACCTTGCTAATATCAAATTCATGTTAGGGTTGTTGGTACCAGGACCAGTAGGGCTCCACTTGATTGTATAAATCTCTTTGTTGTGAGCTTGAAGATCATGTACACATGTATCTTGCTTCATGCTCCAAATCTACATGAGGAAAGATCAATAAAAGCACGACACAATCTAAAACAAAAAATAAACTCACTGTTGTTTGAACCATTTTGTAATAAAGCTTTAACCAACGAATATTTTTTATTAATTGATTCAATTCTTCATTGACATTTATTATCTTTAATGAAATATAAATGTTATATATTCTGATACTATGTAATGAAGAAGAAAAATTGAAGTTCAAAGCATTTGTATAAAAAGTTCATAATTTTAAATGTGAGCTCGCTATTGGGAAATATAATTTCACTTTTCTAAAATTAAAAAATTAATAAAAATATTAACAAAATTACAAAAATTCTTCAAACATTCAGACTAGAAGTGTTTGGATGTACAACAAAAGTGAACTTTTTCATTATAACACTTTATTTTATGCCTCAGTATTTCAGTTATACAACCTTATCAAGAGATTGCAGAACAGATAAATCTGTTATAACAGTAAAGTATCCTTTTTTAAGTAAAATATACAGTGAGATGGCTTCAAGCAAGTTAGATGAATGATACTTTGTTGAATCAACAATCTATAGTTCTGAAGACAATAACAGATTCTTGTGTAGAAATTGTAAAAGATTAGCAGGGTGAAAATAAGCAAAACAACAACTATAAATAACTGATAAGTTAAATTTGTGATTAAAAACGTATGTTAGTGATACTGACTTGTCACACATTACTTCACACTTCAAAACAAACGAATATTTATTTTTGGCAAAAATTATTGTAGATATTGTAGAATGTGCAAGTGTAAGTTCTATTATAGCTAAATATTTCTTTGTGTCTGTTTATTTTAGGATTTTTATCTTTTTTCGATAAGCAAAGCGTTTTGTATTTTTTTGCTGTAAAACCTTGCAATTTAAAAAGGATGTTTACTGCAAAGAAAGCCATTCACAAATACATTTACACTAAATACCTCTGGAAGGAAAACCTTTTCTAACAAACCTACACACACACATATATATATATTTAAATATACTGTAATTACCTTGCTAATATCAAATTCATGTTAAGGTTTTTGTTACCAGAACCAGTATAAACTCTTTTTTATATAGAATTCTGATATGTTCCAATATATGTCTATGTAAAGATCTTTCTATTTCTAAAGTGTATATATTCACACAAGATTACATCTAAGTTGGTACATTAAATTTTTTCTTTCGCATTTCTCACTTGCACCACTAACTTTTGAAAAGCAAGTGTTAATGTGAAAGGCATGTGCACTAAAAGTTTTTTAAGTGTCCTGTTTTTTGTGTTACTCTGATCCATAGCTTGATTTTCCAACTTGAATTTTTTGGTAATGAACATCCTAATGTATGTCACAGTGAATGTGACTGTGGGATTTATAGCAATTTTTTTGTTGGTATCTGCTTTCTAAAAAAACGTATTTTGAAGTTAAAGTTTTGAATAATGTCAATGTAAACTCTTTATTTCACTTACTATAGTATCTTTTATTTACATTAGATGATATGATGCTTTTACATACTTTATGTTATTTCTTTATCACTGATTATCAAGTAAGCAGATAAGAAAGATAAGCTTCTCTCTTTTTCACTTATTTCAAAGTGAATTTAAATCCTTCTAGGAAAGTGAAGTGTCATTGATATCCCTTGCTTTTTTTACTTTTCACAGTAGAAATACTTAACCAAATGAAACATAGTATAAACTACGTAGTACCAACGTTACAAAATTCATATTATTTAGTTTAGCTTATTCTATAAAATTTTAGATTATTAAACCTACAAAACTTTGTTGTGAAACATTGTTTTTAAAAAAAAAGTAAAAATAATCATCTTTCTTCTTAGAATTAAAAATGTTTTATTGCTGATTAGAAAGTTCTATTTTATATATCCACTTAGTTTCAACTTGGTTGATATTAACAATTTATTTTGTTGGTTGTATTAGTCACAATTTCCAGCAATTAATTGTAAAAAAAAAAATGGCAAAAAAATATTCTGATGACCTACAACCTAACCTTTCACAATGATGTCTCCATTACTTTTGCCAGGCTAGGTAACAATATTCTAAGTCGAGATAAATATACTGTCTTTTCAATAAATAATGATTTGAGTCATCTGAATACTTTTGCTGTTGTCTACAATACTTGCTGAACTTAACTAAGATTACCTTGTATCAGGTTCATAAAACAAAATTTCTGTAGCTTTCAAACAATTAAAATTTCGTATACAATTTTTTTTCCAACAACTAAACAAATGTATAAGAAACTGTAAAAAAAAATTCTCAGATCTGTAATTTGTTCTTCTGTCTTCTAAGACTTCCCATGAAACCATACATTACTGCTCACCTGACTTTATTCACTCTTCATTGACATAAACGGTTTATAATCTGTTCTATCCAATGCTAATTAAACTCTGACTGTAGCTATTTTTAAAGCTGTGCTTCATTACAATTAAAATTTATCTGACCACTTGCTGTGACATAAAAAGGTAGAAACAAAGGTCAGTAACAATAAAACCTCCAGAGAAGGAATATTACACAAGAAACAAGACATGAATACTTCTATTCTCAAGTAACAGCAATTCTTTAACAAATATAAGCCTATAATTTCAAATGGACAGAAAAATTATAAAAAAAAATCTGTGTATTGTTTACAGGCAAGACTTGTCAGAAATAACACTTTGGAAAAAAATTTTCTATGCAAATTGCACAAAATAAATATAACAAAAATAAAAAAAATACAACTTTAAATATTTTTGAGTTAACCCTTTCCAGACGGGTCATGGGTGAAAGGCCATGTCATCAAGTTTACTGACTCGCATTCAAAATTATATTGAACTACTATTTCATGAATTTATGT